TGGAAGTGTCATTTAAAATAAGCTAATATTGTTTAATATCTCATAAATGACTTCAAACCAGTTGGAGTTTTTACTTCCCAGGTTGGACTATGTTGTATACTGTACTGATGTGATATCTACTCATTAATAACCATCGTAGAGTATCTTATGTCACAGAACTCAGATGCTCATTAATAACCATTGTAGAGTATCTTATGTCACAGAACTCAGATGTACACCTGTACATCACTTCCATGTTCTAAGGGTCTTAGAACAGAGAGATTTCTTGATAATTTTCCATTTTCTACAGTCTTTAAAATAGGTACCAGAAAAGGGGTATATATTGGTTGCAGTTCATTCCCTAGGAACTCTGTAAGTGTGAAAATGTGCTTGATTTATTTTTTTTAAGCAGTAATTAAAGAATAAGAGAAAAAGATGTATGTGAGTGAGGAGGAAGGTTTTTATTGGTTAAACATATTGTACTTCTGAAATTTTTGATGGGGTAGTTAGAAAATTGTTTCCATTTCTTATCTCATGGAATGTCTAACTAAAATTTCCTTGATTCCGTGATTTGGATGAGGTGTTTACAGCAGGTTGGTTTTATATAAACTATACACACACACACACACACACACACACACACACACACACACACACAGAGTGATAAAATGTTTTGGAATTACTCACATACATTCTGTGGAGAAAAAGGTTCTATTTTTATATGAAAAAGATTTCCATATAGTATGTAATTGATAGAATGTTCTTCCTCCCTTATTCAGTTTTTTAAAATATATTTTTACTTTGCAATTCAAAATATTGAATCTTATTTTTATGAAGGACTAACATTTGGAAGGCTCTTAAATATGGTGGATTTTACCCACAGCATGCAAATATATCTTAGCTGTGACACTCTCTGTTTTTGTAACCCTGGAATGTTTTTAATTAGATTCTTCATGGAACAATGGATTCAAATTTGCACTCTATAAAATTCAGCAGATTTTATGCTATTAAAATAGAAGATTAGAGGATAGGAAAGATAGAAAATGTACATTTCATTTGCTTCTTTATTTAATCTTCACCTAAATTCTCTAATATATTTCTGCTTTATGTTTTATAATCTGGTTGAAATATGTTTCCATCTTTTTTATAGGAGTATGAAGACCATTTGAGATGTGTGTTGTCTTGTAGTTTTTAAAATATATCCTAAAGTTCTCGTAATGAAAAGTAGGATCCTAGACATGTGAGTTTAAAGGAAGTAGACGTCAGTTTATTGTTTGCCAACTAAAGAGGAGAAAATGGACATTTTGAAACATTTTAAAATTTATTGGTTGACATCTGTCAGTGGTAGAATATTTTCTTGCTTGAGAATCTGTTTGAATGAAGGAGGCAATTATGTTTTGCCTTAATGGACTGCTGGTACAGCGCCATAAAAACCAATTAGCTGCTGAGTCAGTGTAAATAACCATATAAGCTCTGTTTCAAATACCTTTTTTTTTTTTTGAACAAAGGTTGGAAGCAAATAGATAAATAAAGAAAAGCAAGCAAATCCATTTTACATGTCATTGTTCAGCTTCCTGTTGCATATGTTGTAAATGAAATGGTTTGCAATGTGAAGGTTAAGTTATGGTACACTGCAAGAATGAATGATACAGGCAACATCGCTATATTATGTTGGAATTATTACTTTTGCATGAAAGTTTAACACTATTTCATCATGAATTGTCCTTGTTTTATAATTTTCTGTGCATTCATTTTCTAAAAAATATATAACCTCACTTACATACATTTGTTTGCTTTAGTAGGAATATTTATCAATGGCATGAACTGTAGCTTTGACACATAAATTTAGTTGTTACACTAAAATGTATTTGAGTGCCATTAGGACAATCAGTGATCATTATAAGAATTCTGGATTTGGAGATTATAAAATAATAAATGAATTTTAAAATTTCTAAGGAAGCTCTTCAGTTATATTAGATGATAGAATTAGTTTGGCCACATTTGTGAATTAATGTTATTGATATTTAAGTGCTGAATATATCATTTTTAAAAAACTTTTATTGAACAAATTAATCAGAAGTGTAACTGCAAAATTAGACACTTTATCAATAAAACTTCCATGAGGGTATAAACATGTTTGCTTCTGATCACCATTGAATTCCATTCATATAGTATATTCTGTACAGGTAGAGTACAGAGGGTGGATGAATAAATGAATGATTACTGGTTTTGTTTTCACAAACTTGAAATGATATTTATGAAAAGTAATTATATAAACTAGTTTTGCATTACTGTTGCATTGAAAGAAATCTAGACACTAAGAATTTAAATTTTTTCTCATCATAACTTTATATTATTTTGAGCAAATATTAAACAAAATGAAATTATATTTCATTGCCCTAGATTCGAAGAAAGTCCTCCAGTCAATAGTGTTGTGTCTGTAGCTTGCTTTCACTGTATTTTTCATTGATTACTTTTTAAACTTCTTAAGACCTAAATACAAGAATGGATCACAGCAAGAAAAAAACAAAAACAAAAACAAACGTGTCTCTAAACCATCATTTATAACATTCTAATCAATAGTGTAACAATGAAATGATTTAAATGCCCTTTGTTATATTTAGAGCTTTTGAAAAAAGTACCCTTTCTCAAGACCTAAATAAATAATCCAGATGCCAAATCCATATTTTCTTCATACGATTTATTTCCTGTCTTCTGGGGCAAATCTGCCCCTTAAAAGCCAACAAACCTGGTGGAGGAGAGATACGGTGAAACATGACTAGAATACGGTGAGATAGAGAAGCACAGAGAAAAGAATGCCCTTGGGTATATAGAGAAAGTTACACATAACCATACCTGAGAAAAATCAAGTCAGGCTTTAGGAGGAAGCCATGCTTCAGTCGTCTTAAAATACCTAAACAATACGATTCATAATAACATAAAATTATTACTAACCTAAATGGGCTAATAATAGGGAATGATTAAGGAACTGTGGTCCATTTTGATAATGAGATGTTATAAAGACCTTAAAAATAACATCTTCCAAAATATTTAACGATATTAGGAAAACATGTATATATGATATTTGACATAGGTGTACAACTCAGAATTCTCTATACAATAAGACTTTAATTAGATAAAATAAATAGGCATACCAAAAAGAACCCTAAAACTCACAGATCTGAGTGGCACATTATGAGCAGTTTGAATTTTCGTCCTCACGTATTTTGTAAATAAACTTGAATTTATTTTGAATGTGAACAAAATAATTTTCTGCTTTTTGGAGGAAGAGAATCATAACTAGTGTTGCCAATTATACACAAAGGATTTTGCCTTTTGTGTGAGAGAGGAAGGGGTGGTAACTTGAGGAATAACTGGATTTACAGGATTAGAAAGCAAATTTGGAAATTGAGAAAAAAGAAGAGAACAGAGGCATATAGTGCCTTATCCATGCAAGAAGTAACTTTATGTCAAATGCTGCAATGAGTTCAAGAGCAATATTGTCTGAGGAAACTCATTGCATATAGAGATAAGGATGTCAGGGTGAACCCTGAGCCTATTGAAGAAAGCCGGGAACTGTGAGAAGGACTTTGGAATTGGATAAGACCAGAATTTAGGCATTTCTACTTAGCCTTCTGGGGATATTTATTTGTTTTGATTTGATGTTCATTAAGTGTTGGTAATACCTACGTGTTCAAGTATTACTAACATTGAGTAAAAATGAACCAATGTATATGACACAGTATAGTCAATATACATATATATGTAGTTATTGTATTTATACATAAATATATAAATATGCCAATATAACTATTTATACCTGTCTATATATTTGTATATATATATTTTTTAATCCAGGCAGAAAAGTGAAGCTCCTGTCAAGTATTTTAACAGAGGAATTTAATATAAGGAATGAATTCAGCAGTTGTGAAGGTGACACAGACAATAGAAAGGTGCTTCTCCCTCCAGGGCTACAAAGATCTAAGAAGAGGAGGTGGCCCCAGCAGAAGCTAAAATTAGGAAGGAGATCTGGGGACCACTGCTGGAGACATCCCCTGAGGCAGAGGAGGGGAGGATATCCTGGCTTCTGGGTTCATCCTCCCTTCAGTCTCCACTAGTGCCTCTCATTGGCCAAATTCCACCAAAGCCAAAGTGAGCCTGGGATATATGGTTCCCAAGAGTCAGTCTCTGGGGTACAAAGAGAAGAGGGGAAGGGGACGGGAAATGTTTATTATGATGTTCACATGGATAGAAATGAAGCTGAGAGGCAAAATTTTTTGATGGATAAAATATTTACAAAAACACTTAATGAAAGCTATTTCTTTGTGTCTTTCATAACTAAGTGGGGAAAATTTTGTCTTTCTCGATAACAGAACCAGAGAGTGCATGATAAAAAACACTTGTGTTTGAATGCACTTTGCTACAGTGGTTTTCACACAAAATATGCAGAGTCCAGTCTTACTGAAAATACCTATGATACTTAATGGATTTGGAATTTAAGATTTACCTCATAAGAAGCTGCAAAATTATTTTTCTGAGTATAACAGTTTTTTCAACCCATAATATGCTTTCTGTAGAGGAAATAAAAGGTTTATAAAATTTAATATTCCAGCAGTAATTTTCTTTGTGAAAGAGTTACAGTTATCTCTAAAACATCTTGTACATCTATTCAGTGTTACTACATATTTCTCTTTCTGATATAGAGGTTATTAAAATGTACTCTGAAGTTAGTTTCTTACAGGTGCTTTCTCTTTTCTACAAAGTCCAGATTTAAATATTAATATTCCTGTAATGTCTAAAAATCAGGAGATTTTTATTCATTGTATAATTGCCTTATTTTTATTCCCAATCTTGCTCCACATTTAGGGCACAGTGTTATTAATTTTAGTAGTCATTTTTGAGAAAAAAAAGAATCACTCATGAAGAACATCAACTTTGCTTCTTGACATGAATCCTGGGCTTGAATTAAACATCCCTGAGAACTCACGTTTCCGTTTAAAAATTGAATTGTTTCATTGCAGACGTTTGGAACAGAACTCAATCAAGGTCATCCCTCCTGGAGCTTTCTCACCATATAAAAAGCTTAGAAGAATGTGAGTGAATAATATTCTGGAATATATGTAATTTTAAAAATTATACAGGTCATGACCATGCAGACATTCACTTATGTATGAATATTTGAGTGTTTGACAACTTAAATATTAAACGATGTGACTTCTGATTGCTGGCTGTATAATACTATAATGTTAAAAGCTAAACTATGTAATATTTTAAAGTTCTCTGAAATTTAACATACTGATTCACACCCATGTGAATGTATGTGTGATCAATATAGTATGCAGTCAAATCTTAGATGTTCTATTTTCAAAAATAGGACATGGCATCTCTTATAATAATTTCCAGAAAAGAGCCAATAGTTGATTTAAAAGTCTGATTTTTTTAAATTGAAGATGCTTCAGATGTTTTATGTTGCAAATTTTATACATGTATTGATAGGTGCAAAATTGACGCGTAAAGGCAGTAAATAGCTTTCTCTTGCTGTAAATCCTCCCTGACATTCTATTTAATTTATTCTAACCCTATTTCTAATCTTAGTGACCTGAGCAATAATCAGATCTCTGAACTAGCACCAGATGCTTTCCAAGGACTACGCTCTCTGAATTCACTGTAAGTATTGACCACATCACTGAAAGAAAGCAGAGTACACAACTAATAATGGTTCCATTTTTTTAAAAATCTGAATTTAAGAAAAATAATCCTTTAATTTGTCCTATGGATTATTAATAATATTAATTATTATCAATCTTAATGAATTTCATCATTTTTATGGAGGACTGCTACCTGTCACTAAAATCAGCCTTCAGTGAAATCAGCCCATTTTTAAACGTATATATTTTAGTATATATAGTTTTGCTATTTAGAGAGCAAGAATAAGAGCCTCTTTATTACTCTATATTGATATTATTGACAGTTTTTCTGTCCTTAAGCCAGTAGCCACTCTCTGGGGACAATATCAGTCCCCTTTGGCATGATGTTCAGTGGTCTTACAAAAACAGTTGAAGATGCCCAGTGAGAGGCCCCCTTGACTCCCTGCTTCATCTCCTTAAGACTTCCCTGAAAGAACCAGCTTTACTCTCTCAAAGAACAAAGATAACAAAGTATGACAGCTTTTTAATGTCCAAAGGATTTTCAGGCAGATAACTACATAAAGTGATTGTAAAAAAAAAAAAAAATGGATAAATGCTGTTTTTGTTTCAAATTTGTAAAAAAATCTTCAGAAGGCCACCAAGTAAGGTAAACTGTATTTCATAGTTTAACTTTAAAGTTTGACCATGGAGGATGGCATGTATTTTTCTAAGAGTATGCACTTAGAGAAGGGTTCTTATCATTATAAATGATGGCAGGGCTCTCGAGAATTTCAGAAGTCAGTGGTGCCCAGTGGGAGTTCCAAGATACACATGCGGGAGGCCCAGATAAACACCGGGGGCTTATGTAACGCTTCACACTCACTCACGTGATCTCAGCATCCTGAGTTCAAGCCCCGCATGGGGCTCCATGCCATGTGTGGAACCTATTTAAAAAAAAAAAAAAAATGCTGTGAAGGAAGATAAAGCAAGCAGAAGTGATAGGAGTGCCAGCGGGGGGGAGAGCTGAAACTTTAAACAGGATGGTCACTAAGACCTCTCAAGAAGGTGACACTGGGCAAAGACCTGAAGACTCCAGTTGTAGGAATGAGCTGTGCAGATGCATAGAGAAAGAGCATTAGAGACGCAGAGAACAGCTAAATACAAAGGCCCTGCGACAAGAGTGTGCTGAGGGTTTGAAGAAAGTGCAAGAAATAGATGTGACTGGAGGGAGGCAGAAGGTTGAACTTGAAATCATGCAGAGGTTGAAGTTGTTGATCGTGGCAAGGTCTAAGACACAACCACGAGGATGGAGGGATAAAAGATGTTGACAGATGGATTATAGGTTCGCGGGAAAAGAGCAGGGTTGGAGAGCATAATGTAGTAGTGAGCCAGGGTTTAAATCTTCCGAAAGGAGTGGAGTGACTTCCGGGGGAGGGTGTGGGTAACTGTGAGAGCCATGCAGATAGGCAGCCCTCCTCTTTTTTAAATCAAGTGTTCAGGGGCGCCTGGGTGGCTCCGTCGTTAAGCGTCTGCCTTCGGCTCAGGTCATGGTCCCAGGGTCCTGGGCTCCAGCCCCGCATCGGGCTCCCCGCCCCGCGGGAGGCCTGCTTCCCCCTCTCCCACTCCCTCTGCTTGTGTTCCTTCTCTCGCTGTGTCTCTCTCTCTCTCAAAGAAATAAAATTTTAAAAAAATAAATAAATAAATAATAAAGTGTTTGCTTGTACAGGTTTCTCTCACATGTCTTTCTAGAACTGTACTCATGCACATAGCCAGTTTAATGTAGTCACTGCATTTGCTAAAGAAGCAAAAATAATTAAAGGTGATATGATGCCAAATACCTCTAATGCATTTTACTAAATAAAAAGAACTATTTTAAATTGTTACTTAATTACCAAAATAGTGTATCTTAGAGAAAATCGGGCTTGATTTATTGAATGTTTTAAAGGTCTCTCCTATTAAGGATGCCTGGCTGGCTCAGTCAGTAGAGCATGTGACTCTTGAACTCAGGGTCATGAGTTCAAGCCCCACTTTTTGTGTAGAGATTACTTACATAAATAAAGGTCTCTCCTATTAAATAATTGCATTAGCATTTATTTTGATTAATGTTAAAATTTATTTTATTACATACTATTACTATATGTTATATTATTGATATATTAATATATTTTGTTAACTGAATATATTACATATTAATGAAAAATGTCATTCAGAATACATATACTATTGGATCCTTTTATCCCAATGCTTTTTTATTGCCCTCTTTGTGATATCAACAATATTTCTATAATATTTAATAATAATTTCTTAGGGATTCAGTATATTAGCGTATTAGGCATTGTCTGTAAACATCTTTTATTGTTTTTCCATTGACTGGTTGGGAAACATAATTTTATAGTACAAAATAAAGAAGTGTTTTAGTACTCTAGCATAGTGCCTAAGCAAGATAGCCTTTAGGACAATAAGTGGCTGGCGTTCCGATGCTGATTCTAACACTTTACCAGGCACATGGCTGAAGTAGTTATTAATTTCCTTGTGCCTCAGTTATCTCATTGCTAAAATGGGGGTAAGATCACTCACTTAACTGGCCTTGTTAAAGCACAGACGAAACATTCCAGAAATAACAGAGAGGGCCTTGGCAAACTCTTCTCCTGAGTAGATTTGTGTGTTTCTCAATTTTGATTATCCCAGAAAATGTTTATGCCTCAACATAGTAGTTTTCCTCTTATTTTTTTTTTCATTAACCCCTTGCAAACTGTTGTAGTGCTTATTCTAATTTCCTCCTTCACTAACTAGCTCCCAGTTCCACAGAGGTCCACAGGTGGCTGCATTTTAATTTGATTGTTCTATTAAGAATACCTACAAACTTTTCTTAAATGTTGTTAACTGCCGAGTACCTTACATTTTACTGCTGGTTTTCAGTGAAAATGTAGCAACCTCGTTTTCTCTTTATCATATTCTCTTTAAAATTGCTTAGTGTTTTAATTCTCAGATATACATTGTTTTTAATGTATAAGTATAGCTCTCTGACATTTATTTGAATAATGAAGTCTGCCCATAACACCTTTTTCATGATAGCCATCTTATAGGTTTCCGTTTTGAAAATTTTTTTTTTCTTTTTTTAGTAGTAGATCTGTTTTCTGCCAGCTTTCAACGGGGGAAGGAGATTTCAAAGACTGGCCACCAGCTGTTGGCATCTCCTATCTTAACATTGAAGCTTGCAGGGGTGAAACTCGGCTTAGAATTCTTAGCCTTCCTTCTGGTAGCAGGTACAGGAGCTGCTTAAGGTTTCCTTAAGATTTCCCTATTGGTCCAATGGACTGTAAAATAATTCTCGATCAGCATACTTATATACCTTATAGAGTATGCTGAATATAACTTATGTCTAAGAAAACTGTAGAGAAGCTACCCAATTTGTCACTGTTGGCATTTGGATGATATTATCCAAATCCCTTAGGTATTTGTTTTCTTTTCAGCTGAATCCATTTTCATCTTTCAATTTCTTTTAAATTTTTCTTTCCCTCATAGGAATGTAGCACAAATTCTCACTGGCCTTCTTGCACTTTATATCTTTATGTGATGACATGTCTTTTCCCCATTTTTATGGATTTTGGCCCTATTTTTTGACTCTCATCCAGCTTCTCTGTCCTGGTCTTTGGATTTTTTATATTTTCAACTCCTTTTTCCTTGTTACCATTTTGATCTCACTGTGTGTAAGGAAACTATACCAGCTCTGGTATTGCTATCCCTTTTTGTAGAGAAATCTCATTCCCATCACATTTAGTATTTATTATTTTTATGATTGACAGTCCATATACCCAAATAATGCCTATACAGATTTCCTTCATCCTTCTGTGATATCCTCCCATATTTCCCCGTGTACCCAAATTGTCTGATTAACAACAAACATCTATGTTTTTAACATGATCTTAAAGAAAACAATGATTTGTTGGGAAAAATCTAGTTTCACAATATAAATAAGACACACCTCCTAACTCAACCTCCACTCATGCTATTTGAGCTAAGCTTTAAAGCAAAAGACCCAAATGAACAACCTACTAAATTATTCATCCCTTAATTCTTTTTCTCCCTTTTATTTTTTAATTTTAATTCCAGATACTAGTTAAATACAGTTGTTAATAATATAGTGATTCAACAATTCTATACATTGCTCAGTGCTCATCATAAGTTGCTATAGTTGATGTCAGAGAAATTGTTGCCTGTGTTCTCTTCTAGGAATTTTATGGTTTCAGGTATCACATTTAGGTCCTTTATCCATTCTGAGTTTATTTTTGTGTATGGTGTAAGAAAGTGGTCCAATTTCATTCTTTTGCGTGTAGCTGTCCAGATTTCCCAACATCATTTGCTGAAGAGACTGTCTTTTTCCCCTTGCATTTTCTGTTCTCCTTTGTAGAAGATTAATGGAACATATAATTGTAGGTGTATTTCTGGGCTCTCTATTTTGTTCTGTTGATCTATGTGTCTGTGTTTGTGTCAACACCATACTGCTTTGATTACTATGGATTTATAGTATATCTTGAAATCTGGGATTGTGATATCTCCAGTTTTCTTCTTTTTCAAAATTACTTTGCTATTTGGGGTCTTTTGTGGTTGCATACAAATTTTAGGATTATCTGTTCTAGTTCTGTGAAAAATACTATTGGTTTTTTGTTTGTTTTTTGTCTTTTATTTTTTATTTTTTTCAATTTTATTATGTTAATGACCATACATTACATCATTAGTTTTTGATGTAGTGTTCCATGATTCATTGTTTACATTCCATATAGCACACAGTACTCCGTTCAATATGTGCCCTCTTTAATAACCATCACCAGGCTAAACCATCCCCCCACTCCCTCCCCTCTATAAACCTCAGTTTCTTTCTCAGGGTCCATAGTCTCTCATGGTTCGTCTCCCCCTCCGATTTCCCCCTTTCATTTTACCCTTCCTACTATCTTCTTCTTTTTTAAAAAATATAATGTATTATTTGTTTCAGAGATACAGGTCTCTGATTCAACAGTATTACACAATTTACAGCGCTCA